GGCCAGTAGACCAAGGAAGCAGGCGGCAACTGAAGGCTGGGCATCCTGGTACTCCAAGGGAGGCCAGGGAACAGTTGTCCTGGGCGGGCTGTGTGCTCTGCCTTGGTGGGCTATTTATATTCCACATGTTCTGTATGAAGCAACGTTGTGGCCATCTGTGTTGTCCTTTTAAAAAATATTAGGAAAATAGAACACTGAGTCCCAGAAACACCCCTTTCCATTTCCAAGAACCTGGCCAAGTCAATGAAACAATAAAAGCAGTCCCGGACCTGAATGTCAATATATGTTTTATCTTGAAGATCTCTCTCTCTTTCTCTGACTCTCTCTCTCTATCATTGGCAACTCTAGCAAACTACTGCTCTCTGTAGAAACTGCTTTCATGGACATTCTCGAAGTTGCTTGTGATACTAGTCCTATTATGGGGCTATGCCATCACCACAACTGTCATGACCTATAGCCCCCTCTTCCTTCCTGGTGTGGACTCCAGCCCTGGGATTGCAAAATGCACTATGAAAGACAGGTGCTATGACTCCTGCCTGTTACTAAGGGACCTTTTCCAAAAGTAGTTTCCAAATAACCTATATCAAACTCATGGTATCTGGAAAACTGCTTTACCGGACATTCACTAGGCTACTTGGGATGCTGGCCATATAATTTGGCATAGTATACTAATGATGTCACTGCTATGCTGGCCATACTTGGTATAGAATCCAGCATGGTGCTCTTCCACACTGCCCTCACTGGGCAATGCACTATGAAAGATGGAGGTGCTCTGAGTCTTGCCTGTCAAAAAGGAACCTTTCCTGAAAGCAGTTTCCAACAACCTGTGCATCACACTCCATCTCAGGGCGTGTTCCTGGTGTCTCAGAAAAGATCCACTATCCCAGCCCAACTGGGATGGGATATAACCAACGCCTTCCCCAAGGCTTGCACAGCCACCATGTCCTAAACCATCTGCAGTGTTTCAGGCATCTGAGGACACACTGGTCTGTCTGTGCTGGATATGTTAAAGCAAGGGCTCAGGTGGCCAGAGTGATACTGACCACAGTGTGACAGAAACTTATAAAATTATGACTCAGTATTTGGGAAAGGGACATACTGTGTGTCATCATCTGGAGATCATCTCTGAGCACTCTGGCTGTCTTGAGGTTGTTGGGGGTCACAGGGCCCATTCCCCATGACACTGCCCCTGGAATATGGGCAGAGGTTCTAGGGGCTGCTGTGTTAGGAGCAGCATCATGCTCCAGGAATTGTGATTCAGGGGACAGCCAAGATTGTGAGGTCTCATCCAGTTAACCCTGTGGCAGGACAGGTGGCAAAGAAAGACACATCCAGTGTGGCCATTTCAAAGGCTTTGGAAAACAAATCCCTTTCTGCACCCTCATGGGCAAGGTAGCCACGGTGTGGAGACAGAGTAAGGTGACAGAAGAAGCACAGGGGACTGTTCCCATGGGAACAGGGTTGTGATTGACTTTAGGGGAAATCTGAGGATGCTCCCACCACTCCCATGCCACTATATGCTACAGTTCAGGGACTCAGGCCCTTAAACTGAAGACCTTGGGGTCAATTCTGTGGCATGTCCCTCATCACAACATTGTCAGCCAGAAAGATGGGTTGGGAAGACACTGTGAGGTGCAAGAACTCTAGAGCCAGTAAGTTCACAGGTGCAAGGAGATCTTCATGGGTCCCAACAGCCACCTGCCCCTGCAGTTACCCTGGACCCTAGGAAGTGACATATCAGGCCAGGGTGGAGTGGGGTCCATGTGAGCTCTGGGCCTAAGGTGGGAGGAGGAGTTTCCAGTGAATGGACCCAGCTCAGGAAAGCTGCTATGTTTCTGACCTCAGCCTGGCAAGTCTAAAGGGTCAGCCTCTCTCACCCAGGCCACTAGAGTACCACTCTGGTTCTGGACCCAGGCTGGGAATCCATGCTTCTCAGGCTGTGCACACTCCCCAGTTTTCCCAGCCCTTGCAGGTTCTTGGTTCCCTCTCCAGGCATGAGGGCCCTTTAAGGAAACTCCAGGGGATAGGTGGATTCACCCTACCAAGTACATTAAGAGGTGGGGTAGACAAGGAGGGAGCCTGCCACACTGAGGGCCTGACACAAGCCTTTCAGGAATGACCTCCTAGGGACTAAAAAGCCTTCAAAAAGAAGTCATGGGGAGTTCATATTAAGGACACTGGAGACCAGTGGCCAGGAGCAGGACCTGTCCTGTATTGGTTGGAGTTTCCTGATTGCACAGGTCACTGATCTCAATGCCTCACTTTCCTCCAGAGTAAAGTAAGGCAGAGCAGAAGCCACTGCACAGTTGTTGTGGGCACTGAATATTGAACATGTTAAAGCTTGAGGAAACTGTGCCACTGTGCAGTTCATGGAAAGTAGTATTGTATTATTCAGGTCAATCCTAAACGCTGAAGAAAATTTTCCAGATGTAGCAGCTTCCTGAGTCAGGTGAGGAAGAACCCTTTCATCCACCTGTGTCCAGAAACAGGTCAGGTTGCAAGCCACTGTCCACGGCTCTGTGCATTGTAAGACAAGCCAAGAGCAGATGTGCATTGCCCACACCTTACCCTCCCTGCACTTTCAGTCCTAGTTCCTATCTGAAAACACTTGGAACCAGACTGATTCAGGAGCACAACTGCTGGCACCAGCCAGGACATCCCTGTCTCCATCAGCCACACCTGCCAGGGTCTTTATTCTAACACCTTCATTCCCACCCTGGGTCCCGTTGTAGACCCCAAAGTCCACTTGGGCACAGATGCCAGAGAGCCTGCTTTCCCAAGTAGCCACCACTCAGAGCACTGAGTGATTGGGAAAAGTCTTTTTACTGTTGACCGGTTCCATTTCAAATGTAGCATCTCACATGTCACATGGACCCCCAGACAACCCACCTTCCTTCCATACTTCTCTTGTGGTTTTCCTTGTCAAAATGACTTTTTCACACTTTCTGCAATCTCACATTTCTATGCCTCAACTCCTCATGTTGATTCATACATTTTGTAGGAAAGGAAGACTAACTCTTTAACCTTTCATCATTATATGTACCCTTCATCCACTGTCTCCTTTATACAATGATGACATGAAGATTAGAGCAGCATGACCAGTTTGGGTACAACCACATCCTTCTGAGCTAAGCCACAAAGGAGAGAGAAAGAGAGATCGAAATCGAGAGATCTTCAAGATAATATATATATATATGGACATTCAGGTCCAGGACTGCTTTTATTGTTTCATTGACTTGGCCAGGTTCTTGGGAATGAAAGGGGTGTTTCTGGGACATGGTGTTCTACTGTCCTCCTTTATTTTTTCTTTTTAAGGTATGACACAGGCGATCGCCACGTTGCCTCTGCGGAACCTGTGAAATATAAATAGATAACCCACCAAGGCAGCAGCACAGAGCTAGCCCAAGAGCACTGTTCCCTGGCCTCACCCAGAGAAACAGGATGACTGGAAATCTGCTGTCCGCCTACATCATTGGCCTGCTGGTCTTCACCTCTGCATGCCACTCCATGGGCTGCAAGCATGGTGTCACACCGGGCAATTCAGAGTCAGGTACTATTGTGGACCATCTCGGGACTGCCTGTTGTGATCAGTGCTTAAGCAGGGCCTAGGAAGAGAGAATGCTTGGAAGAAGCCAGTTTTAAGGGGCAGAAGGGACTGCTGGACACTGAACCCATGCACACAGGGGCTGGAGAGAAATGAGAGATGCTTCTCCAGTAACTGGGCTTTGGCCTGGATTTGAGAGACTGCACTGGGGAGGTCTGTGTTGGGCCTGTTGGGACCTTTCCTCTGGACTAGTTGGAGGATAGGAAGCTCTGTCCCATCTGCAATTCCAGGCCTTCCCCACCCAGCATCAACTGCTCTCAGCCACAGGTAGCTGTCCTCAAACACAGAGGCCTACTGATCCAAGCTGGCCTGAGCAGGAAGACCACCCAAGCATTCTGCAAGGAAGCTCTGCTGGGTACCTAACCCAATTGTCTTCTACTGTGTGTCCAGCCAATTCCTTTTTATGCCAACTGAGGCAGAGCTGAAGGAAGCCTGATCCCCAGCTCAGTTCTGCTGAGGTCTACAGGGGCTCCACGTGAGGCTGTGGGATATGTGAGAGTGGGCATGTGGGCAACCCCTACAGCCTCCCTATTGTGTGCCTGGCTCCTCTAATGGTCTCAGGCCCCACAGGTGCCTGTCCTCCCCAGGGTTCTGGGCCCTGGAACCCATTTGGAGGACCTAGCAGAGTGAGTATTGGATCGTGGACCTAAGTAAGGTTGGCCTGGTTGGTGTTGGGTTGCAAGGTCAAGGCCAGAGTGGGAGCAAAGGCTTGTGTGTGCTCTGCCTATGGTCAGGGGCCCTCTACCAGGGCCTAGGGAAGAGGTTTGAATAATGGGGTAATGGGAAGTGCAATGGGGGTCTGGTGGGGACATGACAGAGGAGGGTACATGATGTGGTGGTTTCATTGTTGAAGAGGAAGGTGTCCACAACTGAAGGTGAGGATGCTGGTGGTTGTTACTGAGAGCCAGTCATCAATTACCTGAAAACAAAAGTGTTCAGTCCATTTTGCACCCACCCTTGAGTGTTCTCCAGATCTGCCTGGCCCAAGGACCTCAGTCCCACTTCTGAATCCGAACCCCAGTCTGTGCTGCTCCTGGGTGCCCACATTTTCTCCACCACTTCCCTGACCGCACTCAGCGCTCACCCGCATCCATCCCAGTAGACTCTCCGGTGGGACGGAAAGCGCCTCGGGCGACTCAGAGTCTCTGTTTTCCTTAGCACACCTGCCTGAAAACCGAAGGCTTTCCGGGGCTTCTGCAGGAGCAGGAGCAGGAGCAGAAGCAAACGACGACGAAGGGCTTTCAGGGTCGGCCGCAGCAACAGACAGCGAGCCCGGACTGTCTGTCACAGAGGGACTCACAGAATCAGGAAACGCCGCGGAAAACGCTCTGGCGGCCATAGCCAACAACGCCGCCGAGGCTCTGGCGTCGCTAGCAGGACAAGATGACGACGCCGCCCCCGAGCTGCTCCGGAACAATCGACAGGCAGGGGCAGGCCAGCTGCCTCTCGTGCGCCGGGCGATCGCTGCGCTGCGTCGGCAGCGAGAGCTGCACACCCACCACCTGCCAGCAGAGGCCCCGCACTTCTTCAGGCCCACGCTGCAACCGAGGTGCGCTGCTGCGGAGGGTGGGAGGGGCGGGCACCCATCTGGGGCACAGAGGTAGATCTGGGAGCTTTGTCCACCCCAGGACGCCCACACTCTTATGGACCTTCCCACAGATAAGTGCTCCATCGATTCCGCGTGCCACCAGGACTTTGATGAGGCTTGGCAGCTAGCGACAGGAGCAATGCTATGCAGCTAGAAGAGTCCACCTGCTGCAGCTACTGGGGATGGAGCCAGCCCAGCCCAGAAGGCCCATCGGAGTCTGAGCCGCCTTCACCTGCCACCCCAGCTTCTTTGCCCTCCCCTTTGCAAGGAAATAAACCTTCGTAATCGCACCCCAGCCTCAGTCTCAGTCTCTCGGGGAGGGAGAGATGGTACCAGCTGGGGCACAGACCCTCAGATACTCCAGCTAGTTTATGCAAAAAAAAAAAAAAAAAAACTGGAGGCAAATTTCTCAAAATGAAAGAAATTTATATGTAGATGGGCTCTATGGAAGGGGTGCTATTCAATTCAGAGAACAGGAAAGGAGAGTCACTCCCTAGACTCCCTTTTCCCATAGTGCTTGCCAGTCAGCAGCTGGGAATGAGGTCAGCAGGTGACCTAAGGAGCACAGAGTAGGCTGGCCCAGGGTCACACCCTTCCTGGTGACCACACCCAGTGGCTGGTCCATTTGGGCCCAAATGCAAGACACCTCTGCCCTGAAGGGGCACTTCAGCTCCAGAGCTCCCTGTGGGGTCAGCTGAGGTCTGCAAGGCAGTGGCCCCTCTGCCTATACCTCTCCCCATCCCTGCCCAGGCCCACTGGAGAAAACACCCTCCCTGGAGCACCCATATATGATAATGAGGAAGAAATAAGAGCTGTGTCTTGAGTGGTGTCTGAGCAGCTTGCCCTCTCCACCCTTGCTGATGAGTATGGGATAGCCCTGGGCTTTCCTGTCCTATGTCACCCTCCTCAAGGACGTGGAGAGGCTGAGACAGTCAAGCAGTACCAGAGTCTTCTGTCCTGGAGTCGCTGACCTGAGTCATCAGTGTGAGCTCCAGCCCTGAGGAGCTGGCCAGGCTGACCTGGGTCATTGGCCTTCTTGGCTTAGAAAGCCAAGGGCTTGCACCTAGCAATGACCCCAGGGAGGCCCCACACACACCCTGTGGCCACAATGACCTCACTCAAACTGACCTGTGCACATAAATTACTATAGTAAAATGTCCCAGTGTAACTGACCTAATTCCTCTCTTCACCACCTCCCCATCTGCTGATGCCCCCCATTACAGATGCTCAGAAACACCAGTGTCCAAAGCAGACAGAAATCCCGTCCTTAGTCTGTGGGTGCAGTTCAGTACTGCAGTGCTTGCCTGGCATGCAGGAGTCTCTGGGCTCATGCTCTAGGAAGTGGGCTTACATTAGGTGGGGAGGGCCTCCTGCCTTCATGTGGCTTATTTTCAGGTAGAGGAGGGGAGGTGGGAACCGTGAACATGTTCCAGAGGGCTGTGCTGCAGTGTGGACACTCAGGGTCAACAAGCCCCCTGTGATAAAGCCTTGATCCTCAGAGAGATGTTTTTAGGATGTGCTTCAAAATTGAAGAGGTGGTGCCTAGTGGGAGGACTTGGTTGGGACCATGTCCTTGAAGGGGTCAGTGGGACCCTGGCCTGTCCTTGCTCTCTCTGCTTCCCAGCTGCAAGGTCAATAGTTTTGATCCACATTGTGACCCCTCAGTATATGCTGCCTTGCTGTGGACCCAGAAGCAACAAGGCCAACTGATGAAACCTCTGAAAGCGTTGTCAAAATCAACTTGAATTCTCCATAAGCTGGTTATCTCAGGTATGCTGCTGTAGTGTGGCAACCCAGCAATGGGAAACAAAAGTAAACTATAGTATATTTTGGTGTAAAGACACATTGTGTTATAAGAGGTGGGGTATGGCTCAAGTGCTGAGCATATGCAAAGTTCTGGGCTCAATCCCCAGCACAACCCCTCAAAAAGAAGAAAAAAAAAAACTTTGTAATTAGAGAATGAAGGAGGGACCTGTTTGCACATTTCTAATGGTGGTCATTATTGACTCTTCCTGACCATGACCTCAGAGCCCAGGGCAATGGTGAGCAGAGATGCCATGTTCATGGATGCAGGAGCAGTGGGACTTTTTGCAGTGCTGGGGATCCCCATTCCTGGGGCCCCAATTGCTAGGCAAAGGTTTTGCCACTGAACTGAATCTTCAGAACTTTTCTTTTTCTTTGAGTCTGGGTCTTACTAAGTTGCTAAGGCTGGCCTGGAAGTTGCACTCCTCCTGCCTCAGCCATCCAGGAGCTGGATGACAGGTAGCACCAGGGAACCTGGCTCTTCACCTGGTCTTGGTGTGGATCCACCTCAGTTCTGTACCTGTTTGACTCAGGACCAGCATGTTCTTCAAATGTTTCCATCCCATCCTCTGGGATCCTATAATTTTGGTCCCTGCTGTTCACTTCTTCACAATTACAAACGATTCCCATGTCTTTATGGTAGAGAGTCCTCAAGTGAGACAAATGGAAAACAGGGGAAGAGAGAAAGCTGTGCTGCTGCTAGCACAGAGTTCATCTAAAAAATGCGGCCCTGTCCCTAGGACACTGACAGGGCCACTAGATGGTGCACTTGAGAGGAGAGAAAGACACAGGGTGGGTGGGGAGAGGCAGATGGTCTGCTGAAATAAGAGAACTGATACCTGTTCTCAGATAACCTGGTCTAAGGATAGGGAAATCCTTTAAAGAAAGTTAAGATCCTTGGGGTTTAATCTGGAGATTTGAAACGTTTAGTTAGGAGAACATCCTAGAAAACCTAAAACTTTTATAGCAACATTATATGGTTCCCTTAAGATGTCAGTAAGCTAGGAAGAGGGTTTGCACATCCAACCAGTAACCATAGAAATAAGTGTGACTTGCTCTAGGTCACACAGCAACTCCCTAATGAGTCTAGAGTGATGGCCAGGGCTTCCCTTCCTACTTGCCATAATGCACTGAAAACCCCCCATGTGACAGACCCTCTAGCAGGAGAGGCCACAGTAGTGAACATGGGGGATGGAGACACTTCTTCCTTAGGGCTGTCATTAGAAAAGGACACACACACACACACACACACACACACACACACACTGAACTGCAAATTGTAGTAGGTACCGTGTGATCTATTAATAGAGACTCGAGTTAGATAATCATAGTGGTGGGAGTGAGGGATACTCTATAAGAGAGTCAGAACATGCTCTTCTTTCTTTCTTTCTTTATTTTTAGAGGAAAGCTTTCAGGCTGCATTTTCCCCTTATCACCCTCCTGAAGAAGGGGAAAGAATAATCATCAATGGCAAAAAGACAATTGTAGTAAAGCAACACCAAGAGCTGCTTTCACCCTTGGTAGGAAACTCTGGGCTCCTTCTTCGTGGTTTCCAGAACACTTCAAGATCAGAGAAACTTCTCCAGGAATGAACTCTAGATATGATCCCTGCAGGCATAATCTTAGAACTGGTTCCTCTCCCTAGGGCCCATATAAGCCAGTCAAGAGGATCCTGGGCAGAGACGAGGGGAACAGAGCCTTCTGGGACAAGGAAATGGTAGGATCCAAAGCAGGAGTGGCAAGAAGTAGATAGAGTTGTGATGCATGTGAGAGATAGGACTGACAAGGGTGAGGGAAGAGAAGGAGCAGGGTGAGTAGGGTGAGGGTCAGGTGTGGGAAGAGCAGCTGGTGGGATGGTGGTTGATGGCAGAGTTGGGGAATCTTGGGAAATGCAGGGGGCAGCAGAAAATCCAGAGTCCAGTTGACTAGGTTAAGTCTCAAAGTCCCATTGGACACCCACAGGGAGGTATCATTGGGTACTATAAGTCTGACAGTTGGGAGGGGGGCCCAGGATGGAGATAAGAATTTGGGAATCATTAGCTATAGAAAGTGTATAAAATCACCTCAAATAAGAGAAGGGAAGGGACGAAGAAATAAATTCTGGGTTGTTCTAACATTTAGAAGGAGGAGGCAGAAAATGACATTGGGAAGAAGTACCAAGTGTTAGGGAAGAAAAATCAGGTAAGGATAGTTTCACTGGAGCCAAACAAAATATGTTTTAGAAATGGACCAGAGTAACTGTGTTGAATGCTGCATAGGGAATATAGACAGTGAGGACCTAGTCTTGTCCACCAAATCTGGCAGTAAGTGCATGACCTTGCTAAGAAAAGTTTCAGTGGGTTGGAGTGGGCAGAAACCTCAATGGATGAAGTTGAAGAATATGTTGATTTGGGATTAGCATGGCAGACGGCCACAGATGAAAAACAAAGGCAATCACTAACTCGTGGGAACACAAAAAGCTGTTCTGAGATAGAAGAGTCATCCTTCATTGTTGTATGAAGGATACAGTGAATGGAAGGTACATTGATGGAGACAGGTAAAAGAGCTAAGCCTTCCCTTTTTAAAAAATGTATGAATCAACATCAGGATTTGAGGCACAGCAAATGTTAGGTTGCAGAGAGTATGGAAAAGTCTTTTGGGAAGAGTAATTATAAGAGAAGTGTGGCAGGAATGTGGATTGTCTCAGGGTCCATGTGACATGTGAGATGCTGTATTTGAAATGGGTCCAGTCAACACAGTGAAGATACTTTTTCTGTCCACTGAAGGCTCTGGAACAGTACTTGACTAGGGTCCCAGAGCTGGTAACTGTTAGGGTAAATGGTTGTCAGTTCTCATGGACTGTCTCTGCACCTTTGAGCTTTACTGGTTCTGGAGATCTTGCTCTTTAGAATAGCTCCTCAACCCTGAGGACTGTAATAGGGGACATGTCACAACTGTTCCCTAAGGTTCCGAGTCTCAGGGTCTGAGTCCCTGAACTCATAGTGGCATGGGTGTGGTGACAGCATCCTCAACTTTCCCCTGAAGTTGGCCACAACCCTGCCCCCATGGGGACAATCCCCTGTGCTTCTGTCACTTACTCTGACTCCACAACAGTGGCTACCTTGCCCATGAGGCTGCAGAAAAGGATTTCTTTTCTAAGTCTTTGAACTGGCCTTTCCTGGTCTCTTGTCCTGCTACAGGGCTAAATGGATGGGACCCCACAATCCTTGCTATACCCTGCATCACCACTCTGGGCTGGAGCCTGACCATATTCCTAACACAACAGCCCTTACAACCTCCACCCCTGACCTAGGGGCTGTGTCAGGTGGTCCTTTGACTCTCAGTAGTCTCAGCACAGCCAGAATGCTCAGAGATGGTCTCCAGGTGACACACAGTCTGTCCCTCTCCCTGAATCCTGGGTCACAATTACAGAAGTTTCTGTTACACTGTGGTCAGTAATACTCTGGTGACTTGAGCCCTTCCTTTACCATATTTGGCACAGACAGAT